ATGGCCATTACTGTTTTGTCTCTCTCCAGTCTCTTGCTCATGACTGGAAACACATCAATCATTCCTATATGATCAGAAGATTAAGTCTGATAGAATACATAGTAGGTCAACCTTTCTTATGACTCTTGTTGCTAAGTAGCAGAGGCTAGAGAAGTACAGTACAGACAATTAAGTGATAGCTGAACACAGTTTGCTTAGTTCAGCATTATAAAAATATACTAGATGAAAACAGGAGAGATGAGGTGAGATTATGTAGGGCCTAGAAAGTTAGTAGTGGAGAGGTAAATATAAAAATGTTCCCTTGTTGTTCTGAATTTATGGATCTAATTCTCATTGCAGTTACACTACTGCAACTCCATTGACTTCAGTGAAATTTCAGCAGCATAGTTGTGGAGGACAAATTAGTCTCATGAAGTTTAAGGGCAGAAGACACAACCATATCATTTAGTCCAGTGGTTCTCAAAATTTTGTACCTTTCAAATAGCAAGCCTCTGAGTGTGACCCCCCCCCCTCCTTATAAATTAAAAAAAACTTTTTTATATATTTAACACCATTATAAATGCTAGATGCAAAGCGGGGTTTGGGGTGGAGGCTGACAGCTCGCCACCCCCCATGTAATAACCTCGCGATCCCCTGAAGGGTCCCGACCCCCAGTTTGAGAACCCCTGATTTAGTCTGACCTCCTGTATATCACAGGCCACCAACAGCACCCTCACACTGAATCCAACAACTTTATTGATCAAGTCAAGTTTTACACTGAGATTACATTTATAATTCCACAGACTTCACTGGGAGTTGTACTTGCATACCAATTGGCAGAATTTGGCCTGAAGGATTCTGTGTTAGTATGATTTACTAGGCAGGCTCTTTTATATGGTATTAATTTTTTCATATAAAATTAGGGTTAGATGATGAAAATAAAATCCTTCAATCCTGATAAAGGGTGCTTTGGTTTGTCCAGTGCAGTGTTTCAATTCATCTTATACATTATTTAAGGGGAAAAACTACAACCTTTTGAAATGACTCTCAGAGATGCATGTTATTTTTCATGTCTGCAGAGGAGTGGCATATTTAGGTGAAATACTCCTTGCTCTTTTTCATGTATATTTACCATCAACTGACATAAAATGTTTTGTTTTAGTCTCTCATCTAGAGAAAAGGTTAAATGATTTCATTGCTCTTTTATGCTTTTGATCTCTCATATTCAGTAAGGAAATTAGTGAAGGATGTGGAAGAAAGATATATCAGGAGCTCTCATTGGTTTCTTAAAGAGGTTATCCAAACACTTCAAAACATACAATACTAACCTTTTGTCTTTTGGTGTTTTGAATGCCTGCCGTTACTATATACAGTGGCAGACTTGTAGATTAATGTAGAGTAAGATAACATAGTAATAATAATAACTTGCTCTACAAGGATAACCAATGTATTTTACTGAATATATAAGGATCATTTCACCTGCCAGTGGAATGAAGTTAACTGTGCTGTGGAACTCAGCATCTATTGAATATCACAAAACAAGCTTATACAAGAATTTTGGGCAAGAAGTGAAAAAAAATCTTTCCAGTTCGTACTACAGAGATTTTTAAGCATGGAGTATGTGTAATAGGATTTAGTCAAGACTACATATAACAATTTTATTCTTGCTAAAAGTGATATGAGATCACAAAGGAGTAGGATCTTTGTTTATCTCATTCAAAAGATGGTATTCCAAATCCTCAGCTAGTGTAAATGACAAAGCTCTATTAAAGTCAATGGAGCTAGACTGATTTACAACACCTGAAGATCTGGCTCAATATTTTCTGCAGCATATTGTCCCATCAATATCCTGGGACATTGGTTCACTGCTGATTCACAAGGGAAGAATGCCTAAAAGACACTGTTCCCTGTGGCATCTAGACGTTCCTTGGAGGTTTCCCTTCCAAATAATTGCTGACCAATCCTGAGGGTGCTTAGGTTATGATTATGATATTTGATGGGATCCTAGCCAAATATGGAATGGCTGCAGAGTAATGTTCATTCAATATCTTTTTAGTTCAAATTTATGCTCAGAAAGTATGCTGCAGTAATCCCGAATTCAAAAGTCCTCTTCTTTGCAATTATAACTTATTTTTATTCTTTCTCCTCCTCGTCACCAAAAAACAAAACAAAACCCCACTAAAATAATCTTGTTTAAAGACTGTATTGGTAATATGATTAGTTTTTAATTAATAAATGTGTGAAGACAAACACACACAAGATGTGGGGAAGAGAGCTTGTCTGCAAACAAGGTAGTCAATCTATCTTAGATAAATAAGCTGCTGCTTATAGAATTTGGAGGAAAAAAGCATGTAATACTTTTTGCTGAGAACTTTTTACTGTTGAAATATTCTTTCTAAAATTGATGTAATTCAAAAAAATAAATGCAAGACAGAGGAAACAGCCTTTTTTAGATCCTGACAGTCTACCCTGGGGACTGATTCCCTACCACCAAGCAATGCCGCCTCAAGCACAGCTTTACTAACATATTTCTTCTAGCAATTGCTCTATCAGGGAAATCCTAAAAGACCTTGTGTAATTGAACAACAAGGAAAAACTATAGATTTCAGTTATTGCTTTAGAATTGAGATTTGAAAGCATTCATCAAAAGTTTTCCTGTCATTTGTTTAAACTTATAAATGTTTGGGTTTTGCTTCGTGGTAACACACAAAGGACCAAATCAGGATCACAGCCTCATTGTGCCTAGTAATGTACAGATACACATTAAGAAATAGTTCCTCACCCAAAGAATTTGTAATCTAATTTCAGACATTTATTAACAATGTCTTTGATTTCATCTAGCATACCATTAATTACATCTATTTATATTTTGAGTGTCAAAATAAGATATTTTAGTTAGTGAATTTTAAAGTTCAACAATAGCCAAACAAGTAGAAAAAGATAAATGACATTCTCTTTCCAGGAATATGCAGTTCCCTTTCAAAGAACTAAAGAATTGGAGCAGATAAAATACAGTAGAAACAACACAAATGCATTTTCAATTTAAGTGTTGGCAACAAATGGGCCATCTTATTTTGGAAAATTATTTCAGGATGAAATGTAGCATGTTTCACATTTTCACCGCTTGCTCTAACACAAAGATCACTTAATTCCACGCCATAATTTTATTTGTTTAGAGATTTGCTTAGATATATCTTTGGGCTATACACATTCTTTGAAGAGATTTTAAACTTGTAATAGATACAAAGCTGCTGAAAATTTTACCCATAAGAATTCCAAAGAGTTCTTTGTAAGTTTTTATATGAAATTATTAAGAGTGCAAAATGGATCTGCAATGATTGGATACTGTGGCTTCCATATAAAACTATGAATAGCATGCATGGTTTTTGGGTTCCCTTACTGGTAAAATTTTCACAGGAGCCAGTATTGATAGTTGAACTTACCAGTTTAATAAAACAAAACAAACGAAAATGAAAAAAACCGAAGTGTTGGACCATCATTTCCCAGACAGGTAGGCGTAGGTTCTAGGAATTGCCTTTTTCACAGCCGCTTCTCTGTTTCACATTTAGAGCTTTTAGAATGCTTGAACATTTCCTTTTTGTCCCATCAACCACTCACAGAAAGAAAAAAAATTCCATAACTACTTGGGGGATACTGATACTATCATGGTAGGGGTAATCAAAGTGTTTAGATAATGAGCTCTAAACTAGTTTAGTCCCTTAGGTAAATACATTTCAATATATTTTCTTAGCTGTAAAAATATTTCATCAGGTTTTGAGATCGTTTTTGATTCCTTGTAGAAAACTCTGAACATCTGTTGGTGATGAGGAGGAGTTTGTTCTTTTCATAGGTGATTTTTGGGATAGCAGACTGCAGAGCAAATTATATCTGTATATTGTGGAGCTGTTTATGCATTATTATTTTTTAATTCTCCTCTCCTGTTCGGTATATTGATGGCATAATCCTAGATGAATGAGATCCTGTTCTTTCCTTCTTTGCATTTTTGTTTTGGAGTGAGACATGTCCAAAATTTTGTGTTGATGATCCTAGAAGTTGTAGTCTTACAGCCTTGCTGCTCTTTGTTTGCCAGCAAATCTGTTGTTTACACCTCCGGGTTAATAATTGAATCTGTTTTGTACTTCTGTTTCAAATATAATGATTTTTTGTTGCTATCCATTTGCAAAAATTCTCATATCCAGGCCCCAAATATTTTATTGAATTTTCCTGTTTTATGTTCTCTCTGTCCCATTATTTGGATGTTTTCTCAGCTCCTATGCTTTTCTAAGTCTTCCAATTATTTTTTTGGGCTTTACACTGTAGTTTTAGCTCCTGCTGGATGCCTTATCTGGCATTATCCTGTAAATCAGATACTCTTTGTTTCAGTTCCTCTGTTTCTGTAGATATACTGATGATTTACATGTTCAACCCTTCAACTTTGTTTTCCAATCTTCAAGGCTAAAATGAAATTAGTAATTATTTAGTGCATTGGTTTGTGGTGAATCTTCCACTCTGAGTTTTTCCCCCCCCACATAGTTTTGAGGCAGAATTGTTCAGGGTACGTCAAATTTCTGTTAGGAATATTATTGAATGGCAGTTTTCTGAAAAAACATTTCTAGATGGATTAAGACCAAACAGGTAACTTGAGGTATTTAGTCCAATAGGGCAAGACATTCCAGAAGCATGAATCTCACTCCTCCATCGGGATCACAATGGGAATTTTAAAAAAATCCTATGCTTTTCTTGGAAATAAAATTGTATTTTATTGGTTTCCGAAGTCTACATGTAGTTGATTTGATTTTGAACTCTGGGAATTTCTAAATTTCTTTTTGGTCACTGTAACATATTACTTGTAGGTAGAGTAGCAATGTTGCCCCTTACCAAGTGATAGAAATATTTGCCCATTTTTGAAAATAACTTTTGAGGGCCTATTCGAAATAGTCCTTTATTTTATGAATTCATTGAAGTCCATACAATGCTTTCAAGTTGCTCACTTGGTACTTTGTTGCTTTTTGTGATTTCAGGTACTTTTTTATTGTTTATATCCAGGATAGAGCAAATAATGGGGAGGAAACTGGATCTATCTGGTTTGACAGATGATGAAGCAGAGCATGTTCTTCAGGTGGTCCAACGAGATTTCAGCCTTCGCAAGAAAGAAGAAGAGAGGCTGAGGTAAGAGATTTTATTAATATATATTTTCATTTTGATTGTCCTGTCTGGGTAACGAACAAGATATATACTGAACAAACTGGAGAAACTTGGCCTTTCAGCATCCATAATAAATATTTTTCACATTATGAAGCTGGATGTATTGAGCACAGAATATTTATTTTGGTTTGTAATTATAGTCAGATTCAGTTATTTGGTTAAATACCATAATTGATTTCTTTTTAAAAAGTGTTTGAATACATTTTTCATAGAAGTGAATAGGTGAAGTAAGCTCTTCTCTCTCTCACACACACTCACACAATGTAATATACAGTATCTTGTGCTGAAAACTTTTGTCTGACCAAATATTCAGCATCTGCTTTCAGTCACATAAAATCATTAAAAAACAAAAAGAGCCCATTACAAAGCAAAGCAAACTAAGTATGAAAGACAATTTCCCTCATGGACTAGCAGGAATGTGAGTTGGTAGATGTAATAGCTTTCCCATAGTTTCCAACTACGTTTCCTTTTGTATGATCCATGTTTCCTTTTAGCTTCTCTAGAAAACATGCTTTGCTTATTCTTGAGGAGAGACTGAAGTACCTATCTCTACTTGTTGCATGCAATTTCTCTTGCCCTAATGCTAGCATGACAAATGGATACCATTGTTTATCTCCCAGCATCTCACTGGAATCACAAGAGCAGGAAGTTGCTTAAGAAAGATATGAAACCCAGCCTGTATGTTCTATAAATTGAAAAAGAAATCCCTCTTTTTATTGTTGTGGTTTTATTTCCTATTGCTGTTCTCTGAAATAATTACTACTTTGGAACAGTCAGAAGAAGGGAACATACATCATCACACTATCCTTCAAAAACAACAAGGAGTCTGGTGGCACCTTAAAGACTAACAGATTTATTTGGGCATAAGCTTTCGTGGGTAAAAACCTCACTTCTTCAGATGCCGTTTTGAGTGCACTGACACCCACTGATCAAATGGAAGAGAAACTTGATTGGAACCGCAAGGTACTGGTTAGCTTAGGATAAAGGGGAATGTATATAGGAATAGACCCCTCCTCCCACTGAGAACCCCTTTGTTCATTGGCCAGACAGATGCAAGTTGCTTGTCTCTTGCTTTCTATAGTCTCTTAATTAAACCCAGCCTGGGGTTTCTCAGACCTCTTTTACCATTTTTAGCCACTTGAGGCAGGTGTCCAGTGCAGATAATAGGCCAAAGAGCCAGCAACTAGAAAATAAGAGACATGTGATTTCTCTGGTGGACCCTAGGTCTATGGAAAAGTGGAGATCTGGAGAGTAGGGACCCTCTTTGGTACCTTCAGTCCCTTTTGGAGGAGGAAAAGGAGAGGATTCAGCAGAGGAAGACGAAACATTTGCATAGGCACTAGGGAGGCTACCCTTAGTATGGGCTATATGATAAATGCCCTGTGAACCCTACACTGAACGCACCTAATGCCTAGCATGGGGAGATGGATAGATAGTGCCCCTCTTCGATGTGAAGTTTTAATAAAGTGGCCTGCCACTTAAAATCCATCCCCATGTTTGTCCTTGTTCATCTGTGTGTCCTGATCAATAAACAAGATCCTGCCCAGCTTTTCCAAACAGTGGTGGTGTGGTTCTGCTGTGTGGAGGAAGGGCAGGATGAGGAGGGCGCACACACGGAGACTCTGCTGTACCCTTTACATGCAAGGATTTTAGTGGTTACTCCACTGCAGAATGAAGGCGGGGGGAGAGCTGGGGATAGTGCGGGGTAGGCTAGAAGAGGAATGAGGGCGTAGCCAGCGGTTACTTGAGCATGGCCAGTTGCATCCTAATGAAGTGAGAGTACAAAAGCTGGGAAAGATGCTGCAGCAGTGGCCATGCTGTGATTCCAGTTCTCCCCAAGCCTGAAGAGAGAGTTCCATGACCCTTCGTCCCCAGGGAGAATCCCTGTGCAAAGCTTATTTATTCAGGGGTTGTGCGGTGGTCGAGGATTTGTTTCTGGGGTTATCTATAAAAGTTGTTGGTTAATAGTCATTTATTTGTGAAAACGGGGCATGGGAAGATGAGAAATATCACAAACTAAAGGCAAAATGGGTTCCCACAGTACACAACTGACCATGTAGTTGGCTTAGGAACGTTCCATTTTTTGGAGGGAGCGGGTGCAACTCTGTTTGCATGCTTTCACAAAGAATTCCTGAGCAACTAGTTTCCTGAGCGGGGATCTGTTCATTATGTGCACTACTGATGAAGCCACATTTCTCTACCACAGATTGATTGTAACAAATGTTCAGTGACCAGACATTACATTTGGATCTTCTGTTAACTAATGGATCACTTAACAAAGTTACCGGTTGGTTTGTGGTTTAAATTGTTGTGGCTAGTTTTTGCAGTGTGACATACCAGAGTACAATCCATACTAATGAGTAGCTGTGTCATCCTGCCCTCTAACCTGGGGTGCCCTTTACACTGCTTTGCTGCTGTAGTCTTGAGTCTGGACTGCTCACTAACAGCCTCCAGCATGTAAGTCACTCCCAGCACACAGCCAGTGACGCACACCTTGGTTCTTACCAGTCTTGGTTATTCTGCAGGGTGACCCTAACACCCTCCCAATCCCAGATTTCCCCCCAGAAATGTATGTCCTTTACTGCTATGCCCTCTCCGAGACGGTACAAATCTATTGAGTCCTTTATTCCTTTAAGGGACTAATTATGCACACAACTTGTTACCCCAAATGGAGTTATCCAGACACTTCAGCTTGAACTCACTGGATTAGATAAAACAATAAACAAGTTTATTAACTAGAGAGCGATTAAAGAGAGATTTTAAGTAAGTGCAAGTAATGAGGCATAGAAGTCAGACATGGTTACAAGAAAAATAAAGATAAAATGTTTACTGATGCCTAACTTAACAAGCTACGTTAGATTCAAAGCAAAGATTTCTCACCACATGCTTTCAGCAGTCTTACTGACCACACTCTTTAGGTCAGGACCCCTTCCCTGGAGTCCAAAGGCTGCTTTCTTTGTCTCTTCAGGTGCAATGAATGCAATGGGCAGGGGCAGAGAGAGGGTGCTTTGGGGGTGTTTATCCCTCCTTTTTATGTTTTGACTCCCTCTTGAAAAACATTTCCATCTGAGACCCAAGAGACAAAGAGTCTATGTGGAAGGATGTTCTCTGCTGGCTTTTTCCATGTGTTTTGAACTTCCTTTGTTTTCCTTCCCTTTTTGATTACCCTGTATACTGCTTAAATGCAAATTAAGGCAAGCACACATTCCCTCCTTTGTTTAGAACAGACCTGACTTCTGCCTAGGCAGGACTGTGGGGTTTGAAACGTGTTAATAACATCATGCAGGGAATCTTATAACTTCACATACAATGTTGCTGTACTTACTTTACACTAGGACAGTACTGACCAGGAAATTGAGTTTTCACATGATACCTTACAAGGTGTACTTTTACAAAGATTGTTACAATACTGTGTAGGGTGTGTACATGGGTTATATTCTATCACATACGTTATAATACTGTAAATATTTTGTTTGTTTTGGTGGAGTAGTGTTGGGAGAAGGAACTTAGTACGATCAAAGGGATAATATTTACACAAGAGAGTATCCCCAAATGTCACCATATAAGGAGCTTTTGCCTTGTTTAAATATAACTTATTTTGCAACTTATAAGTCAGATCAATTCTTGAGGCTGTTTCTATGTAGTTTTAATTTTTGAAAAAGTTATAATTGGCAAGATCTGCCAGCATGATGATGATGATTTTAAAATGTCAGATATAACACACTAGAATTTCTGTAGAAGACAAAAATCACTGTTTACATATTAACATTGTATAGAATTTTGTTACAAAAATGGTTAAAGATATGTATGAGGATGCTTTTTTATCTTGATGTAATAGTAATATATTTCCCTTTGTTACATGTACAATACAGTTTTATATAGGAAATTGATAAAAACCTTTATAAACTTTTGTAGATTGGCAAATTAGCTAAAATTGAATGTCAGTTGTGAAAATCAGAGATCAATAATTTTTACATAGTAAGTTTGTTTATTGAAAGGGAACTTATTAAAGCTTTCACATGAAATGTATTTTTATATATCTATATAAAAAGGGGTTTCAGTATACCTGCTTCTACTATTCAGAGCTTTATATTTCACCATTGAAATTTTAGTAGCTACCTTTCAGATCTGACTTTGGCATTGAAAATAATGTTGTTTTGCTCTGTATGACAACAAAGAACAAGAACTGTTTAAGATAATATAGGAGAGTAGACGCTGATATAGCGGAAATCGTCTAACAAGAATGCAAGCTAAAAAAACTGAAATAGGTTGATGGCTCGTTGGCTCCAAATCCACTTTGCCAGCAGAATATAAAAAGCTTACTAATGCACAACCAGAATGACAGTTTAAACTAATGTATTTATTGGAAGTGTGGCTAAAGTTAGGAAAGACGCAACATACAGCATAGTTTTCAGTCTCATTATACCAATATCTTCCATTAATTCTTTCACGTAGTTTTGTCTATTCACACTTCTATGCAGCTTAAATGATGAGATGTAAGAAATTTATGACAAAGTCAGACTTAAAATTTTTGGCTGGATGGTTAGATTTATTGAAGCTAGTGAAAGTGCCATTGCCTCAGAAGGGCAAATGAGTTTCATGTTGTCTTTCCCCTCTGATGCATACCATAGCTACTTGGGAAGCTTAGGCTCATGTATCAGAGGGGTAGCCATGTTAGTCTGTATCCACAAAAACAATGAAGAGTCTGGTGGCACCTTAAAGACTAACAGATTTATTTGGGCATAAGCTTTCGTGGGGAAGCTTATGCCCAAATAAATCTGTTAGTCTTTAAGGTGCCACCAGACTTCTCGTTGTGGTTGTGTTTTTTTTTTTTTTTTTTAGGTTCATGTGTTTGTTTAAAGAAAGATGTAGCACTATTGTAACCCATGTAAAACTCGTGCATACATAAAATAAAAATAATCAAGGGTCTGCTTTGATTTCCCCCCCTCCCTTAGTTATTTATT